AGCAATGAGCATGAAACTGAGCAAACTCCAGGAGGCAGTGAAGGACAGGAAGGCCTGGCACAATGTGGTTCATGGGGTCATGAAGAGTCGGACACGACTTAACGACTGAACAACAACAACAACAAATCAAGATTGCGTCTCAGCCCTCAGCTTATTTTTTGTCGACTTAACGACTGAACAACAACAACAACAAATCAAGATTGCGTCTCAGCCCTCAGCTTATTTTTTGTCTCTTTTCTAGTGAAGGACAAAAATGAGTTATGCAGAAAAACCCGATGAAATCACAAAAGATGAGTGGATGGAAAAGCTCAATAATTTACACATCCAGAGAGCTGACATGAATCGCCTAATTATGAACTATCTTGTTACAGGTAACAATCACTAGATTTATTATCTCCTCTTAATTTAAGAACAGTATTTCCAGCACATGTTTGTATTCATTGATGACTCTGCTCCAGGAGAGTCTTTTATGAAGACAACACAGCTGGTGTTATAATCTGTAATTATGTGGCAATATTATTATTTTGTAAATTGTGTAAAAGTTTCTTAAGTTTTAACAATACAGTCTCTTCTTACAAGCTTTTATAGGGAAAGGGACAAGTAGAAAAGAGGGAGAAAGGGAGAAACAAGGAAGGACTCATAGCTACAAATTTTTCAGAAAGATTTTATTGACTTCAAGGTCTGGCCACTGAGGAAGATAGTTTTGAGAGGGGGTTTTAATAAGAGAATTACATCTTTTCATCTTTTTTGTCCTCTTTTGCAAACAGAAACTTCAGGTCCTTTTTGTTGTAAAAACAAAAATAACAAACATTCAGTGCTGATAGCATTCAGGATAAGCTTCCCTTCCCTTCCCTTCCCTTCCCTTCCCGTCCCTTCCCTTCCCCTCTCTTCCCTTCCCTTCCCGTCCCTTCCCTTCCCCTCTCTTCCCTTCCCTTCCCGTCCCTTCCCTTCCCCTCTCTTCCCTTCCCTTCCCGTCCCTTCCCTTCCCCTCTCTTCCCTTCCCTTCCCGTCCCTTCCCTTCCCCTCTCTTCCCTTCCCTTCCCGTCCCTTCCCTTCCCCTCTCTTCCCTTCCCTTCCCTTCCCTTCCCTTCCCTTCTTGTAAGCAGTTTCTACTTGCATTGCATTTCAGAAGGTTTTAAAGAGGCTGCTGAGAAGTTTCGAATGGAATCTGGAATCGAACCTAGTGTTGATCTAGAGACCCTGGATGAAAGAATAAAAATTCGGGAGATGATCCTCAAAGGTCAGATTCAGGAAGCCATTGCACTGATCAATAGCCTTCATCCAGAACTATTAGACACAAACCGGTACCTTTACTTTCACTTGCAGGTAAGCTACAGATTTAAAGAGGTAGGGATTATATTTATTAAATCTAAATAATACATTTATTATTTTAAGAACTATAATAATTAAATTAATAATTTATTTTAATTTGTAGGACACACATTTTTAATACCCTTTGGCCTTGTGCTTATATAAATGTGTCAGTTATTTAAAAGTGGACTGTCTAGATCAGAACTGTCTAGATCAGTGTTTCTCAACCTTGGCAGTTTTAAGATGAGTGGACTTCATGCTGGCTGGGGAATTCAGGGAGTTGAAGTCCACTCATCTTAAAACTGCCAAGGTTGAGAAACACTGATCTAGACAGTTCTGATCTAGACAGTT